GAGGGATATGGCTGACCTGGTTGACCAAAGAGCTGACTGCGCTAATCACGGCAGATAGTCAGGTACGAGAACGATTCTAGAACCACCCATCCGACCATGTGGCCCTGTCAGGAGTATGTCCAGGTCCAATACTCCCTGTTGGGACTAGGCTGCTGTACCATGACTGAATATTGCTCCAATCCCTCGCCTTCACAGCTGCCAGAAGACGACTATACACTTCCGATGAACTGATTTTGGGGATATGCAATTGATATCGAGCTTGCCGGCCTCTTACGGACACACCTTGGCGATGATTAAATTGAACCCTTCCGGGTTCACGGAGCTGTTTCTCAACCGTGCGTGCTACGGTCTGTCCTTCATTGGCTTACATCGCCGTGTCTCGGTGCTTGCATCTCCTTATCCTTCCCTTTGAGTTGAGCTGGGCCAGATTTAGCTTTGCGGATAGCGAGGACGGTGCCCAACTGAGGAGATTCGACAACGTTAACAGCCAGAGTTCTTTGTTCTCATTACGCATCAATAACTGAAGAAGTGGACCTTGATGGCAAATTTCCGGTTCGAAGCTCAAAACTACTGCTGTAAAGTGCAATCCATCGTGTCGGGTTTCCCCTTTCGATGGGAATGCTGTTACGAATCGGGCTTGGTCCTCCCACCTAACCCCAGCTGCTGATCATCTCATTTAAACGGGTCTATCCAATCTACATTCATATCAACACGTTCACGGTTGGAATGGCTATCGTGCATATGTGGAATTGACTCCACCTTGATTGATACTGTTTAATATCTCATATGAAATGCGGATATGCAGATATGCAGATATGCAGATATGCAGCTCTACAGTTACTATTATGGTGTCTATTTACACACCAAAGCATGTTTGATCTCGGAATTGAGCCGCGCTCTAAAGCTCTAATCATTGATTCTTATCGGCCACGCGTGGACTTGCCGTTTTGGGTCAAACGTCGCCACTGGTTATTGCTGATATACAATGCCCATTGATTTTTATGTCGGGAAGATAATTAGGAGGCCATCCTTGTATATTTATTGCTGAGATTGGCATTTGTATTGAACTCCAAAGAATATCCATATAGAAAGGAAGCTGTTGATTGTCACCGAGCTATGAAACACATATGACAAATTATGGTATGTACATGCGAACAGGCTGCAAAATATATACGAGATTTTACTTTAAACAACATGAATTGAATGCCAATTGTACCCCAGTTCTTTATCTGAGTGGATTTGTGGATACATCTATGAAGGCTATGGCGGCCCACTGAAGGGAAGTCCTCCCGAAGGTGACTCCCCCGCAAAAACCTCCCCCCCAAAAAAATCAGATTTCTATTATCAACGTCTCTCCAGTCCATGACCAATCCTTTTGATTCAACCAAAGCCTAGTATCAGACCCACCGCATTACTGGCTATTCTCAATTGGGTCTCCAACTTTTTATCGAAGTATTTTCCCTGAATAGAGTTAATCCGTGAGGGGTGTCAAGGCGGACTGAAAACGCCAGACGCCAGATCAAAACTATATAGAAATCACCATTTCTCCCTCTCATGTTTCTCGTTGATCTTCAGTCAGAAAATGGGCGCATTTCCCTCCTACCTGCCCACTGAGTTGATATACATTGCCTCCGGCTGAATTACCACGGCATGGATTTGGAGTCCAATTCGCTACCCCTCAAGCCACCACTGACGGATCAGAACGTGCAAGATGTGCAAGATGCCCAGGATCTCGCTGCCCTGGGCCATTCCCAGGCCCTGACGCGAAAATTCGATATGTGGAGTATGCTGGCTCTCGCCTTTTGTGTACTTGGTAAGTTTGAGCTTTTTGCTAGGCCACCTGATGAAACCCGAAAGTGTGCTGACATGGCCAAGGAACCTACTCGACCTTCGCTCAGGATCTCAGCAGCGGTCTGACCAATGGTGGTGCTATCACTATCCTCTGGGGTCTGGTGCTTGTCACAGCATGCAACCTCTGTGTTGCGCTCTCGCTGGGCGAATTGACTAGCAGCATGCCCACCGCCCTTGGTCAGGCATACTGGGTTTATCGACTGTGGAATACACCATTGGGTCGATTTGTCTCATACATGTGTGCATGGATCAACACATTTGGATGGTGGACCTTGACTGCATCGCAGGTTGCCTTCATGACTGAATTCCTGCTGGGCATGAAGACTATGTTTGATCCCGAGTGGGATGGAGTCAACAAGGGCTGGCTCAATTTTGTTGTATATATCGGAGTGGTCGTTGTGCTGACACTGATCAATGTCGTCAGCTGCCGCAAGGAGAAGATCTTGCCCTGGCTTAACAACTTTGTTGGAGTGTGGTTCTTCGGCCTGTTTATTGTTCTCTCTCTTGTACTACTTATTTCGGTCGGAACCAAGAGCGATCTGTCGTTCCAGCCCGCTTCGTTCGCGTTTGGTGCTTGGAAGAATGAGACTGGTTGGGGCGACGGCGTGGTTTGGTTCACCGGGTTGGTACAAGCAGCGTACGGGTTGACCGCGTTCGATTCGGTCATTCATATGGTGGAGGAAATCCCTGCGCCTCGGAAGAATGCTCCACGAGTTATCTGGATGGCCGTTTTGTTCGGTGCCGTGACTGGATTCATTTTCATGGTGGTCTGTCTGTTCTGCATCCAGAATGTGGACCGTGTCGTCAACGCCAACCTCCCCTTCATGGAGCTTATGATCGAGACGGTTGGACTGAAAGGGGCCGCAGTACTGATTGCACTGTTCATTTTCAACGGTGTAGGCCAGGGAATCAGTATCCTTACTACTGCCTCCCGTTTGACCTGGGGCTTTGCCCGTGACGGTGGCGTGCCCTTCAGCAAGTACTTCAGCCACGTCGACCCTGTGTGGCAAGTCCCAGCCCGCGCTCTCTGGGGCCAGGCCGTCGTCATCGGTATCGTTGGCATCCTCTACCTATTCGCCAACACCGTGCTCGAGGCGATTCTCAGTGTCAGCACCATCGCCCTAACTGTCTCGTATGCCATGCCCATTCTCGCCTTGCTCATCACCGGCCGCGAGAAATTGCCTCCGGGTCCATTCAAGCTCGGTCGCATTGGTCTGTGGTTGAATTGGGTCAGCATCGTCTATTGTATCATCACTACAATTTTCTTCCTATTCCCTGGGGGCCCTAACCCGGCGCCCAGCGATATGAACTTCGCTATTGCCGTCTTTGGTGTTATGTTGGTTATCGCTGTTGCATTCTGGTTCATTCAAGGCAACCGAACATATCTCCAGACTGAAGATTCCATCGCCTCAATGGTCTACGCCCACCATCTGGAAATGAATCAGCTCGGTGTTGATGAGCCTGTCCCGGCTGTTCAAGCTCCGGTCATCGTTGACAAATAAGTGATATCTTGAGATTTTCCTTTTTGTTTATGAAGCTTATAAAGCCCTATTATTTTTGGGTGGGTGTGTGTGAAGCAGAGATGTACATATTGAGGTAGTATATCACATATGTGTACTAATGCATAACCATACCGGTTGGATTTTGTAAATCTGAACCCAGGTTGACGTGCTTCCTCATAGAAACTTCAAGATTATTGAAACAACTGGCTCTACCAGACACTTCGAGGAGATTCTAGATATAATCTATCTTCTTTTGGTTCTTTATTTTGATTAAAAAAAAGGTAGGAAGACGTAAATTCGGCAGTGTCACGGGATACTAGTAGCTAGAACGGAGTACCGCCTAAGGTTACAACCCTGAACCTGCCAAGAAGCCAAGGAGTCAACATTTTAATATCGCCCGGACTAGTTATGGAGTCCAACACATGAAATCGCGAGACAATAATTGCCATCGGGACCTGTCATTTCGACCTGATATGTCACAAACGCAAACATACCGAGGACTCCGTACATTTCTTCACCTGCCTACTTCGCATTTTTGCCCAGCCGTTTTTACCCAAGGTTGAAATGTCACATCGAAGGAAGACCAAGATCACCAGCCACATATCTGTCTCCCGTGCCTACAACATACAACATGTAACTTATGACAACTGACACACTAGAGTTTTGTATTGGTCCCAGCCCCCGACGCACTCCGGCGCACTCCGGCGCATATCAATGCAAACAAAACCGATAGTTATGTATTCGGGTTGCAACAGTGCTGCAGTTCATTTCAGCGCCACAGAAGCCTAGTGCTCATCCTTGCAAGACTATCTTGATTTTTTTTATGAGATAGCCTAATTGGCTATCAGCTAGTGCAGCAGTGCATGATCAACATCCCCAACTTTTTCCCCTCGAGAGTCTTGGCAGGGGAAGAATGATTTTGATCATTGAACAACTCATCCAGCTGATTCCCATCGATCAGACCTGATCGCAGATGAACTGTGTGCTTCATATAAATCAGAACTGGAGCTGATCTGATTTTTAAGGCCAAATCATCCAGCCACCCGACAATACAAGCCCCCCCCCTGGACGCCCCCTCACATTGTTTCCTTCGACCCAAGTGGGTCAGCCCCTGCCGATCATAAACGGACCCCCGACGGACGCGCCCAATCCATCTCATAATGGTTTATCTCCATACCGATCACATCACTAACAATCTGCTGTTCCTCGGCTGGCGAAAGGTCGTTAATCGCGACGCGAGTATGGGGCTATGCAGCCAGATCCCGAAGACGCAATGCAATCCCAGCCGTTACCATTATTATTATTGATTTAGAACAGTCTCACCAAACGGACATTCAACAAGGGCCCACTGGAACAGTGGAAATTATAGCGATGCCAAGGGAATGACGTGAAACTTCGATTGAAGCACTCCGTCCCTGTGAACGTTGTCTTATTCTGGTTAATCTTGGACTTCTTCAATACACACATTCTTTGTCGCCCTATCATTCCCCCCACAAATGCAACCATAATAAACACCAATTATTCACGATATTTACCCCTCCTTTATAATTGATAGCCTTCTGTCGAACTATTTATACTTCCTGCATTCGCTGTGTGGAGGCCCCGAGCAGTGTCTGACAGGGTGTCTTCATATCGCTCGTTTCCATTATGATTGCATCTCTATTCAACCGTGGAGCATTGTCGCTCGCGGTCTTGTCACTTCTTGCATCCTCTGCTGCAGCTGATGTATTTGAGAGTTTGTCTGCTGTTCCTCAGGGTGAGTAATTGGTGTTCTAAACTAAACCGACAGAATTGAGGACGCTGACCTACCATAGGATGGAGATATTCTCGCACACCGCGTGCTGATCAGCCCCTGAAGCTACAGATTGCACTGGCACAGGGGGATGCTGCCGGATTCGAAGAGGCTGTGATGGAAATGTCAACCCCTGATCACCCCAGCTACGGGAACCACTTCAACACCCACGAGGAAATGAAGCGCATGCTGCAGCCCCGTGCGGAGTCCGCTGACTCGATCCGCGACTGGCTTGAAGGTGCTGGTATTACCAAGATCGAACAGGATGCCGACTGGATGACCTTTCACACTACCGTGGAGACGGCAAATGAGCTGCTGGCAGCCAATTTCCAGTTCTACGCCAACAGTGTCAAGAAAATAGAGCGTCTTCGCACACTCAAGTACTCCGTCCCGGAGCCTCTGGTGTCACACATTAACATGATTCAGCCAACCACCCGTTTTGGCCAGCTGCGCGCCCAACGGGGCATATTGCACACCCAGGTCAAGGAAAATGACGTGGCTTTCCGCGGCAATGCCATGTCCACTAAGCCGGACTGCAACAGCGTCATCACTCCCCAGTGTCTCAAGGATCTGTACAATGTCGGTGACTACAAGGCTTCCGCCACCAATGGGAACAAGGTCGGGTTTGCCAGCTACCTAGAGGAGTATGCACGATACTCCGATCTGGAACTCTTTGAGAAGAATGTCGCGCCCTTTGCCAAGGGCCAGAACTTCTCCGTCGTTCAGTATAACGGCGGTGGTAATGATCAAAACTCCAGGGGTAGCAGCAGCGAGGCGAACCTCGACCTGCAGTACATTGTTGGAGTCAGCTCCCCCGTTCCCGTTACAGAGTTCAGCGTTGGCGGCCGCGGTGAACTTGTTCCGGATCTCGACCAGCCTGATCCCAATAATAACAACAACGAGCCATACCTTGAATTCCTCCAGAACGTGCTCAAGATGGACAAGAAGGACCTTCCCCATGTGATTTCCACCTCTTACGGCGAGGATGAGCAGGTATGATACCCACCACCAGTTATTTCTTTTTCGTGATTTTCGTCAGCCTCTAATATCAATATCCAGAGCGTTCCCGAGAAGTACGCCCGCACCGTTTGCAACTTGTACTCGCAGCTCGGCAGCCGCGGTGTGTCCGTCATCTTCGCATCTGGCGACTCCGGCGTAGGCTCCGCATGCCAGACAAACGATGGCAAGAACGCGACCCGCTTCCCACCGCAGTTCCCCGCCGCCTGCCCATGGGTAACATCAGTCGGTGCCACAACCCACACCGCGCCCGAAAGGGCCGTGTACTTCTCATCCGGCGGCTTCTCCGATCTCTGGGATCGCCCGAAATGGCAGGAAGATGCCGTGAGTGAATACCTCGAGACCATAGGCGACCGCTGGTCCGGCCTTTTCAACCCCAAAGGTCGTGCCTTCCCCGACGTCTCAGCCCAAGGTCAGAACTTCGCCATCTACGATAAGGGCTCGTTGTCCAGCGTCGACGGCACATCCTGCTCAGCTCCTGCCTTTGCCGGAGTCATCGCTCTACTCAATGATGCACGCCACAAGGCTAAGAAGGCTCCTCTGGGATTCCTCAATCCCTGGCTGTACTCGACAGGCCGTGCCGGACTCAACGATATTGTTCACGGTGGTAGCACCGGCTGCGATGGTAACGGCCGCTTCAGCGGCCCTGCTAACGGTGGTCCGTCGGTTCCAGGTGCTAGCTGGAATGCTACCAAGGGCTGGGACCCTGTCTCTGGTCTTGGATCGCCCAACTTTGGTACCCTGCGCAAGCTTGCGAACGCTGAGTAGGTTGCAAGTCTTGCTTGCTGATATGATGCACAGTCTGTTTCAGATTATGATTGGTTCTGACAGGTTGGACACTTCTTGTACGCATATATACTAGTCAGATACACATAGATTCTTTCGTATATTTGCAAATATAATAATCTTGTGACTGGTTCGATTTCTTGACATTTGTGTAATATGTTTCTTTTTTTTTTCATATCTTGATTTGCAGTTGTTTATTGCTTGCCTTGGCTTGAGGCACTGCGCCCAAGGAAACTTCCACTCGAAGGCCTACTGGTGCACAAAGAATAAATTTGACCCGTTTATGTCTACCTAACTATGTACTTTCTCCGATTCGCGAACGAATGGATGCATTGCCCGTGAAATAGAATCTTGGACATAGCAAAAAGCCTTATTGGGATACAGTATTTGCAGACCTGTTAGATGTGGTCCTTATTCCTTGAACACAGGCTCGGACTTCTCAATATCCTCCTTGCTCAAACACCACTTATCTTGCAACGCAGGATCAAGACTGGAAGCATAGACATCCTTGGGCCACCATTCACCCCAGCTAGTCAAGAAGATTTGTTCCGGATCAGCAGGGAGATTATCAGCCGTGATCGCGCGGAGGATGTTCTGGGCACCTATTGATCATTAGATATCTATCGTCTTGGATTTAAAATTCAAATTCCAAAGATTCTTACCCTCTGGCACTGTCTTGGCATCGGGCATATCCATGGTCAATTTTAAGTCCGAATGCCGGGCAAGCTTGGTGTTGGGGATGAGACCTGGTGAGACAGCCACGACTTTGCAATTCGGGAGGCTACGACGCCAGTAGTGTGCACCGAGAAGTTGGGTAAATTTCGATGCACTGTACACTACTTTTGTGTCCGCGCCGGAGTTTGCTTTTAGGTCGACATCAAGGGTACCTAAGATGAGGTCAGCGTTGTGAACAACTTTGCCTTTAACGACACGATTGAAAAGAGAGAACTAGACTAGACTTACTTGGGTCGCCTCCTCTCACATTCCGAATTGCACCCGAGGATACAACGACAATACGCGATTGCGAGGCAGACAGGGTCCCAGCAAAATGATGGGTCAGATAGTGCTGGGCTGAGTTGGTATTCATGAATTGTTAGCTCCAGCCTCCTAGCCTCGCCTCTTCTCTTTAGTAGCTAATAGATCAAAGTTTAACATACCCAGATGATTCACCACGTACGGTTCGCACCATTGCGAGCCATGAGGGCCTGGTCCATCGGCGCTACTAGCAAGACCCGCAACGAGGAAAAGATAGTCCAACGGCCTTTGGCCCAATTCAGAGAGTGCTTGCTTGGCAAAGGACTGGACGCTCTTAAGATTCAAAAGATCGAGCGGCAAGACAGAGACGCTGTGCTTTGAAGTGTCGAATTTCAGCTCATCGTACGCAACACGCGTCTGTTCTGTATCACGAACACCCAGGATGAAGCTGTACGGCTGTGTCTGCTGGAGTAACTGCTTGATTGCTTCAAATCCCTATCACCATGTTAGCTGGAGTCTGGATATTCCAAGAGAATGTGGCTTTTACCAAGCCTGACGATGTGCCTGTTGCAACGACAGTTTTTACGATTGAAGACATTTTCAGATTCTTTATCTGGTGATATTTTGGTCTACAAAGTAACAGCCATGGAGTCAGTGCAGAGAGGGGTAGAGCAACAGAAGCTGATATAATCCGATTATGTCATGTTCTACTCTTGCCCAATACAATTAAATGACCACTGTACAATATAATATATGTTGTAGTACGGGGAATCCATAAATGCATATCAAATTAGGCCTGTGAATTAAATTAAAATATTATGTTCAAAGGATGCGAAGTAAGAAAACCCGGTCGCTCGTTCGCTAGAAGAAACAGAAATATCATGCCATTTTAAATCTTGAATCCTCCCAATCAAGCCATCGGTATCGGTGGATGGAGTTAAGAAATAACAGCCATCAAAGTCGATCCGAAAAGAAGGGCAATAAGTCCAACACCAGATTTGGAGATTGGCTGGTTCACAATAGCAGCGTTTGTGGAAGTCGAGGTGGTAGATGATTTGGTGCTCGTACCCGAGGAGGTGGACTTGGAGTCGGTGGCCGTGGCAGTAGCGGTCGCATTGAGAGCGGCGTTGCAGAAGACGTTCTGGTAGTTGCCACTTTTGCTGGTGAGGCAGGACTGGAGCTTGTTGACATCTTGGCCCTGGGCAAGACAGTAGATGCCGCAGTCGTTATCGTACTTGGAGACCTTTGCATTCTTGCAGCAATCATCCATCACATCGGTCATGTTCCCGCTAATAACGGCCGCACAGGCTGCGTCAGTCGTGGGAATTTCCCAAACACTGCCACCGCAGGCAGTGCTGGTTGGGCTCACGGATGAGGTGGTGGAAGAAGTAGTGGTAGACATTTTGAATTGTAGGGTGTTTGTGAAAATGGATTTGAGAGATGAAAATAGTTTGAGAACAGAAGAAGATGAAAAGAAAGAAGAAAAACAAAAAAAAAACAAATGAGTGAGATGGGTCAGTATATCCCAAACATGGAGTACCTTCTTTGAATGTGACTGGTGCGCCATCAGCCTTGGCCCCCGGTTTTTCTGTTTTTTTTTCTGGTTTTTCTGTTTCTATACATAGAAATGGGCTGAAAACTGTGATTTGGGCTCTTTTTACTTGGCATTAGTCTTATGATACGATATATACGGAGTAATATTGTATATATGTTGTATATATATATGTGTGATCAGGTGCATGTGATAAGTGTTATGCATATAGGTAAGGAGTGAATAAAAGGTCAAGGGTTATATTATAGTACTCCGTACAGAGCACGGAGTACAAGAACTAGATATATGTAATGCAGGTATTGAATATGTCGACCTATCGTCGATCTTGTCCTAACAGAACTTCCTCCATGTTCAGGGCAGCTTACCTCTGTCTAATCCCTCGGGCTAGACACGACATCCTCATGGTTCGACACCTCGGCCTTGCCCTCAAACATACCAGCCTCAGTGTGCTTCTCGTCGGAGGGCTCCGCTCCAACAAGAGCAAGAAGGCCGATTTCACGTTCGATTCGTTCCTTGCGTCCACTATCGGCAGCTGCCAACCCGACCGATCCGAACAATTCGTCCATCTCCTCAAGAGTACGACCTTTGGTTTCGGGCACAAGGAAGATGACATAGAACACAGCAACGGTCGTGATGCATCCGAAGAAGATGAATGCACCAAAATTGCTTTTTTGGAGGAAAGGAGATGTAGCAGTACCGACTGCGAAGTTGTTCAACTGCAGAGTACTCGGTTAGAGGACTTTCAACGAACTTGACAGTCTATCTCGCCACTTACCCAGTTACTACTACCACCCATACTAACACCCTTGGCACGCATGCTGAGTGGGAATACCTCGGATGTAACAATCCACGCAACAGGTCCTGCAGTGGAACGATGGTCAGCAGAGTCTCTCTCCCCGCAAGGAACTTTTGCACATACCCCATGAGTAGGCGAAGTTGATGATGAAAATCCAAACAAAGACAATGGCCACCCAGCCAGCGGCGGCGTGGTCTTCGAATCTACCCTGATACGCGCCAATGATACCTGCGACAATGAAATGACAGGACGCCATTCCAATGGCGCCAGCAATCAAGATCTTCTTTCGTCCAATCTTGTCAACCCACAAGACGGCGGGAATGGTGAAGACAAACTCGAAAATTCCAACCACACCGGTGGCGAGTAGTGAGATTGTGTTGCCGCCTAGGTGCATCTCCTTGAAGATGAATGGTCTGTCGAAGTGTCAGCAGGTGAACTCATCAAGAAGCACATGGGATCAAATAGTGGATTTCCCATATCAACCCGCTACAAGGCTGCATCTGCGGGAACTTACGCATAGTAGTTAATTGCGTTGATGCCTAAGTAATAATGTCAGTGATGAATTCAATTTTTCAGATTTCACAAATCTCACCATTCCATTGTTGGAACACCATAATCATGCACTATTATATCATCAGCAATATCCATGGAGTATCACATAATTCAAACGTACCGCCGTCGCCGTGCGCTTAAATAGAGACTTGTCGGTGATCAATGACATGTAATCATAAACTCCAATCTTGAAGCGGCTGGAAAACGAGTCATCCTGCCAGTCGGGATACTTCTCGGCAGCTGTCTCTCGTTCGAAGAGGTACAAACTCTTGATTTCAAGGAACTCAATGCGAACAAGCAAATCATCCGGAGGTGCGTTACGCAAGCGGGCCAGGGTTTGTAGGCATTCTTCCTCGCGGCCAGTGTTCATGAGATGACGGGGGACTGCGGCATGAACATCATCATGCCCACAGCCAAGACCACAGCAGGCAGGATCTGAATACAGACTGGGACCAACCATGCAGCATCCGATTGTGTTGCCCCAGTTCCGCCAATATAATTGGTTCCATAGCCAATCTGCAAATGTCAGGGTTGAGAGACTCCACGAGAATGGATGCGCGACGTACCCAGAAGCTGACCATGATTCCAAAGGTGATGGCGAGTTGCTGCACAGCGACGAGCGAGCCACGAATCTCCGGTGGTGCCTTCCGTCTTCGTTAGCCTGTTCCTTCGTAGAACTCATTCCCGTTGCGTTCACTCACCAACTCTGCATTATACAGCGGCACAACCATACTCAGACTACCAACACCCAGACCAGTCACGAATCGACCACCGAAGACAAAGTCCTTGTTCGCCGTACAGGCCTGAACAATGACACCAACGCAGAATACTACCACGGCAACCAAAACAGTCAGGCGACGACCGAGCGCATCGGCAAGATATCCGTTTGCCAATGTTCCCACCCAAGCACCAAGTTCGAGGATGGACGTGAGCATTCCTTGCTTAATACCCGTTTCCTTCGCGTAATCTCCAGTCTATGTAATAAAGTCTGTTAGCAGTGCACAGCGGCGGGTTAAACGGGCCAGAGACATACCGCTGCCTGGAACGCCGGCATTGTCAGAACCTGAGCAAACATTCCCTGGTTGTCTGCATCATCGCTATCAGATTATATTCACAGGGCATTGCCATAGCGTCGTTGACTTACATCCATAGACCAGACCTCCTAGTGACGCGAAAAGTCCAATACATGTTGTCTTTTTGTTACTGAGCAGGCCCTTGAACCCATTTTTGCCTGCAAGCTCAGCGCGTTTGGCCGAGATGGCCGTCTCTCCCGCGAGAGGAACCACCATTGTGTATTACGACAAAGACGGACAAGGACAAATAATACAGAAAAACTCAAGTTCCGGGAGATGAAGGAAAATAAAAAGAGAATGGCAAACGTTGGGAGAAATGCCCTGCACGTTCCTTACGTCTCGAAGGGGATCTGCGAGTATTTATTCACTGGGGGTACGGATAATGAGCTCAAAACAACCAGTTTTCCCCGGGAACTTAGCCCCATGGGGGGTATATGGGGTATGTGATCAAGTCTGAAACCTGAAAACATGAGGTAATCAGCCCAATCAGCCCATTGCGACCAAGCTTCGTGGCGCGTGGTCTTCCTCTCTCTTCAAGCCGTATGGGCAGGTCGAATCGGCCGTAAGACGGCAAAGTGTCGACTAGCGTGGCATTGCAAGACCGTCAGTGGCTGCAATAACATGAGGCCCGTGATTTCGAGAAGGATTTAACCGGTGCTCTTAGCCAAAACCCCCGAACTGGCTGGATAAAATGGAAGCAGAAGGTCCATGGTATAGCAAGCTAACACATTCCCCACTAGAATTCGATGGTCTCAATCCAGACAGTTTCTGAGTCGGCATGTGCCGCGAAGGGGATTCGGACCAGCTCCACCAGATGGGGACATTCCGGGGTCCCCGCGCATTTCAAAAATCTGGAGATTCATCAAACCTCTCAACATGCAACTCTTATTTTCAGTCTACTGGAAGTTTTACACAATGTACTCCTTATATCGTGATACCACAAATGCGAAATTTCAGAAATTTCAGACATTCCCAAGACAAAGGCTGTATCATTTGAGCTCGAGGCAACTTCCCCACATCCGAACTCGTTTCCGAACCGGTTGAATTACTTCGATTTAGCCGGTTTAACCCCAGCCTTCATACCCATTGACTGCACCCTACCGTTTGATTCCTGTACGAATCGGCTTCGGGCGGATGGTTATGCTGCCGATCAAATACTAACCCCAGGATTAGCCTGCAATGGTATATTTATACCTAGTTATACACCGATACATACCAGCACGTGGATAAAAGGGAAGTTTATTTTATGTCTTTCTCCAGCCTCCCCGGAATTGATCCAAAATGTCATGTTAGGAAATGTCTCGGCTTCTTGCGGAGATATATCGGTCGCTTGTGAGCCGTGAGAGGCCTAGGTCTTGGCGCAACACACCGAAGGCTAGCTGTATATTCAAGGCTGTGTACGGAGTACGGAGTAGATGCTTGGACTGGTGGCTTTTCCATGATATCCACTTCGGTCTTATTGCTGACTCCGGCCATATTAAGGGTTTGGCCTCGGCCCGTCCAGTCTAGAAATCCCGGTTCCCTTTGGTGCCCCGATGTAGGTCTATAGCAAAGGTTATACATACAGTCTCAGTCTTTTTGTCTATATTCTAGCGACAACACCAATAAGCGGGGAATATCTATAAAAATAATATCTAAAAAGACATCTAAAAACACGTAATTTAAGAAACCTCTGTGGACTGTTCTTGCAGGTTATTAAAGTGGCATAATATCTTTTAGCTCTCAATTATCGTACACAATCTTCAAATCTTTTCCTCTGAGCTGGACTCGTCTCAAAACACTTGCATTTTGCGATAAGCATTTAGCATGAAGTCAAGTAAGATATTCATACCTCACCCGATGCATCGAACTCTATGATTAGGAGTTCTAGCCAGAGGAGAGTCCGGGAGGTTCGACGCGGCGGTAGGATATCCCAAGGCGTAGACAACATTGGTCAGGAAAAAGGCGCCTTGAATGTCCATAATCCTTGTTATTATCTTGGGCGTTGCGAGTGGAGAGGTTTTACACTTCACTCTCCGGTTTCCCCCGGCTGAACTTCTTGACTCAACATGACACAGAATCACAGAATCATGTGGTAGGTTAAGTTGCTTGTGAAATCTTTTCTAGGGGTTCTTCTAGACTTTAAATGTTTATTTAAATTAGCCTATATCAGAAACGCACATTCGGGCGGTTGGTCATTCCGAAAAGTCTGGGTTCGACAAAGACTTACATATATCTTTGTCAACATACTGCCCTAGAATTGAAGAGTGTTACGATTCTCGTGGTTCATATTGGAAGTTTCCTGAGGCGCTCAAGTGAATTAGTAAATGATTAATTAACAATTACAGTGAGTTCAAGCTGGGTATGGGGGCGCCATGTTTGGTGGTTAGCCAGACAAGCCGTGCGGTTAATGAAAAAAATGGAAAATGGGGTTAACTGCCTCAGGATCCATGACTAGATAGCAAAACATAGGAATACTTACATCCCTTTCGTTGGGCTGTGTAGGAACAATGAATTGCCATCCGGTTCAGATTCAAGAATACATATTCAAATATTAATCCAATGCTATTCTGAAATTTCCGGTGGTGTTGTATTAATGTCTGAAGAAAGGGAAATGTGCCTCGTTAATCTAGCTGAAAGAGTCACATATTGGAAAGCTCATTCGATCCGAAGGATGATGATATGGACCATGCAGATGACCTGAGTATCGAGTCAGCTATCGTCTTGTCTGTAAGATAGGGATGGGCTCACCATTCTCATGAGAATATCCATGAGAATACCCAATAAAAAGGACCACCCATGTAGATCGATAACAATAGCATATGATGAATTCCAACATTGATACGTTTGGAGCCTTACCGACAATACACCAAGAAACAGCAAGCCAACCTCCAAAGATGACCGATCACGATGTTTTCCTCCACCGAGTCTGAGCCTCGACTGCTTTTTCAAGACGCACATTGAAGTAACTTCGGATCAACTCCTCTAGCTTAGCCTGGATACAAACCAAGCGCATCTGGGTATCAATCATCGGGCCCTGGCTATCACTCGTACTTGGCGCTGCATCGAGGAGTCGAGTCTCCAGAACAGCACGGGATTGACGATGCGTCTCAGTCCGTTTGCGCAGATACGAGCTCCACATATCAGACGCCTGGTCCATGTCCAAGTGAAAGATGCAGGGAAAGACGCGAAGCGAATTGGCATGGGAATTCGCAAACCGAAGCCCTTTCCACTTATGCTCATGGCAGATCATGACAGCTTCGTTCAGGAGCGCAGCACCAACACCGTAGCCACGGAAACCTTTTTGCACAGTCCATGCACGGATAAAGGCATCGTAGTTTTCGCCCGTTGGGAGAGTCATCAGGTTGATTTTCGAATGGGGCTGGATGCCGATGTATACGATGCTCACAACAAGCGTGCCGACAATGCAGCTCCCGAATCGATGAACAAGTACAAATGTAACCCCGTTATCTGAGTTGAATACGGGGTCTTCCTGGGTCGTGGTAGGGTCGACTTCTTTGTTAGGATCGTGTTCGTACAACCAGTTCAGTGTTCCAACCCTCTCAGCTTCCTTTTCATATTCCCCAGCCAAGCGTGTGACGATGCCCAAAGCGGCCAATACCGTGGTTGCACAGATAACCGCAATATAGGGCCAGCCAGATGGGTCTTGGTAAACGGCACCGACGCTGTAAACAAACCCCACGGCTAACAGGGTTAGAGTGATCGGGTGGAGGATGAGGGATTCGATGGCGAGGCGGCGCTGCTCAGTGACTGAGACAGCGATCAGCTTCAGTACGGACGCGATTTCGAAGTCTTCAGTCGCTACATCTGTCGATTGTCCTGGGGACGAGATGGGTTTGAACGTGTCCTGACTGGTACTTAGGCTCAGGTGGCGAGCCTTTTTCTCGTTCACGGTGTCGTTCGGGTTCGTGGTATTAGCGTAGTCTCTTGGACATGGGGAGGTGACCATGCGCGCCATGGTGAGCTGTCTCTGATAAGGTAGGGGTAAGCGATGAGCAGAGCTTGGAAGGTTTGTGAGGACGAGGTGGGATGGGCATGTATGCAGTGACAACATTTCTTGGGGAAGCAAACAACATTGATCGAAAGAAGTTAAGTAAGAAGCATCTTAGGGCTGAACATCACAACCACGTGCACCTAGACCCTTTCACCTGAAAGTGCCCTCCCTAGGCTATAAACAAATACCTTAGCTTTTACTATAGTGTATCACTTGCAACACTAAGACTGCCGTAGTACGAGGCCTATACACCACACCTGAGTGAATCTTGCACCTGTATGTATGTTTAAGTAGTCTTTACAGTAAAACCAAGCAAGTTGTGTAAATAAGCATAAATAGCAATGTATGTACGTAGGTGGGAGTACTCAATTGTAAAAAATACTGATATTGAAAACTATACTGCAGACCCTATCTATTGTCTATTCACTTTGATTTTACCCTACTTTATATCCCCCGCTTCATCTTCCACCGCATGATGAAGGCCGCGAAAGGATAAAAGGCCAAGGACACTGCAATCCAAATGAACAGAATAGCAAAGTCCAATCCAATGCGCGAATGGATATCGAAAATGATGGTTCGCAGAGCGTCAACAACTATAAAAGAAAGTTTGATCTTCAGCAACAGAGCACCGTGACCATGACGAGGGGGAAACTTACTTCGATGTAACGGCCATGCGTAACCCCATCTATAGAAGTTCGGGGCTAAATCAATGGCATAGAACCCTGTCGCAACATTCGTAATAACCCAAAAGATAAGGAATAAAGCACTCCACGGGAATCCAAGAACCATGGCCATGTTCTCACAGGGGAATCCTAAAGCAGCCATGCCAACCCAGTTCAGCATCCAAAAGACGACAAATGAGCCAGGACCATAGGCATTGGGATTATTTGCGGGCAGGATATCTGACGCAGGATTGTTGCTGAATGGGATCTTGAAAGTCAGAGACACGAGTGAGTAACACAGCGAGAGGAAAAAATAGGCGACGATGCTCGAGAGAATGCGCCAAATGAGCCAATGCGGCATCTTCAGCGGCGGATGACCATCTGGTTTCATGAACTCAGCATGAATAGGCATCATAAATGGGAAGTTGAAGAACGCAATGATAATCAGATAGATCAAGCCGATGGTCACGGCAGGCGAAGCGACAGCTGGGGCAAAAGGTCGTAGATCGACGGTCGTGAACCCAATGCCCGGGTTGATCGCCTGCGGGGGCACAGATGACAGGTTGCTGACGGATGAGGTCAGAGACCGGACCCATTGCGTGCCAAACTCTGCTAGCACCATGCTTTGCAGTATGGCCAGGTCGGGTAGGATATAGGTGAAGTATGTTGCTTCATGACGCGCGGAGATGATGACTGTCTCGATGGCACCGCTCGGGTCGTAGATCGTATTGCCCTTGGAGACTGCATCCCGAAGCAGCGTCGTTGCGTTAGGCTTGATTATCACAGCGGCATAGGCATGTTCATCGTAAATGGCCTGGCGCACGGCCAAAGGATCATAGTTGAAGTCGGCGGGGGATTTGATAGTGTAGCCGAGGTGGTGGCCGTCAGACTGCAGGATTCTGTTGGTAGCATCCGTAGCTGCTGGACCAACGATAGTGTCGTTGGAGCGGTATGGATCGACTTGGCCGTCGAAATCGACTACCCATACCTTCAACGCTGGGAACTTCGCTTCGGTGCCGTATTGGGCTCCCCAGAAGAGAGATAGCACGCCGAACACGAAGACACATAAAATTAACACTGATGATCTCTATTAGTTTGCATTCCGCGAGTTCCCAAATCTTGAATTCTTGCTTACAGGTGCGAGCCCATTGGTGGAATACCCGCTGTCGAACCTCCTTGAGAGAAGGATCAAAGAACGATACAGGCACGGTTGGGTCAATGCCATCGTCCAATAACTCGACTTTTACTGTCATAATTGAACAATTTGTAAAAGAATGTGTGACTGTGAGAAATTGCGATTTGGTCATATTAAAAGTTTAACAACTTGTACACGAAGAATGCTGCTCATCCGCTTGCGGCGTTGTAGATTTCCTCGGGATTTATCCATTCTTGGAAGTCACCTTAACTCCGAAAATGAGATGATCTAATGACTTCTGGCAAATGAAAGTCATATACCAACCTTGGAAGGTAAGTCTGCAGGGTTTTGTCGGCAAGATAAACTTGTAGCCGCGCTCTGAATATACAAGACAAGAGTATTGCAGGAATTTTGTCCCTTGTAAACATGATATCCTATGTTGTAGAGGTTAACCATGAAGTTAGCCAGTCACGGCCGGTGTGCATCGTATTCTAATATATTGTGGGCAATCTTCCCAATGCAGTGTTTCATCGTTGGGTTAATTAACCGGGCGCGTCGCGGGGAAATTGATCCCTGGTGTATCAGGCTACCCACCATTGCGCGTCCTCGTTTCAGCTGATCCATGTAGTCAGCTCGCGGGGCAACGTATGTAAAGTAAAAGTTCGTCGTAATGTCAGTGAGATAGTGCACAGATTTTGTGACAGCTGAATTTCTCAAAATTCGTAATATTTGTGTTGCATCGGCCATCGACACAACCTGCCCGATCTGATCGCAGATACCAAAGCACACAGAGACCAGCGATTGCTGTGGATTGGAACCCTCCTCAGCGAGTGAATAGTAGGAAAATAGCGCAAGGTTGGTATTGACGATCGTAAACTCATTTCATTTATTCTAAGGGTATCATTAAAAAGTCTATACATATCCTGTTTCACCGAGGGAACCCAATCGATCTTCCCGTGGACTTCAGAATAAATTGCGCATAGGATCTAGGAGCCCGCCCGAGATCCTTCACTGTCTCAAACAGTGGCATTCGAAAAAAAAAAGAGGTTTGAAGATACTCAGGCGCAGGTGACCTGGTATGAACCGTAGCGGCGTCTTGTTCCAGCGACGCGGCAAGTTTGAGTGGCATTGGTTTGGCTGGCGATGTCGGAAAGTTCGTTCTGATCGCACATGGTGTTATCGAACAACTCGATGCGGCAGCCTTCGGCGACAGAGTTGAGTGTGTAGGCAGAGGCAACGCTGTGGAGATCGGCGCGACAGCCTGTGCTGCCAGATCCGACGTGAGGGTCACCGATAGTTCCGTTGCATGAGGGTGACGGGAAAAGGGTGAAGGACCATTGAACCTCGCGGCTGATGAGGGGGAACGCGGAGGAAAAGTTGAAGAATAGAGTGACGGCCAGGAGGCAGAGACGAAGAGTAGAAAACATGGTGCCTTGGGAACGAATGTAGATTGTGGGTGTATTTGAGAAGGCTTATGTTGTAGACAGTTGTAGAAGCACAAGAAGAGAGGAGAGGAGGGTGGTCTTGTTCTTAAAGGTCTAGAAAGAACTGACAGGGGCAATGTCCACAATTTATTATGGACCCACCAAGATTTAATTTCTTTCTTTTTAAGGAGAAATAGTAATATACAACATACAACATACAACATAGATACTTTGACTTCGGCTGAACCCAGCCATGCATATTAATAAACTAGGAATTCATACTCTGTCCACGTACTCCGTACATGTACTCGTACTTGTACACACAATGTGGAAACCCCCGACAACGGGTTTTCATTCCTGATGAGATCATCCCGAATTCGATTATCATTTAGTCCTATTCCGGTAAGTGTGGGGGGCTGGGACACCCATCTTACGCAGATGCGTACGTACTCTTCCCCATTCAGACAATCTTATTGCATCCCGGTTTTCTTGGTTGAATATTTCTATTTTGGTCTAACTGCATCTTGATATAAACATGGCTGGATATCCAAAAAAATATAAAAATAAGGTGGCACAGGTGGCAACTTATGCGGACTTTTCAGCCGACTAAAATAGGCTAAAACATAAAAAAGAGAAATTTCTTATCGGATCGGCAGAGAAACCTTCGAATCTTCCCAGGTTCTTTTTTGGCATATCCATGGTTCTTCATGGTTCTGTATAGGTTTAATCTCACATTTCACATAACCAACTATTCAGTAACTTGTACTCCGTAGACTAGTTTGCACATCAGAAATGTTATACAAAGTATACTCCAAACGTAAATTTACTAACTCACAATTTTTGGTTGGCTTTTCACTTTTATCGGATTTGAAGTCCGATCGGCATCCTTGAGCTTGGACTTTTAACTGTTTAGACGCGTGTGGCTTCAGGGTCTAGGTAATCACCACCGCCTCCACTCTTCATGTCTTAATCTATCTTACGCACAACCCTCTGTCAAAATCAAACAGATAGGGAAAGTTCATAAATGGAATATTCCATCTTTTTACTCCGTACTCAAATCTTTGTTACTACTTTTACTCACACATGACGCTAAAATTCTCCGGGGATTTGGTATTGGCAGAATCTGGGTGTGAAATATGGGATCGGTCATGTTCATACATAGAACACTGGATAACCCACCTATATTAATAAAGGAAGTACTATCGGATCGCATCTTGCCCGTTAATGATATACGACTTTGATCGTCGTAGCACAGTTCATTATGGTGATCCAATGAGAATTTGAGGAAACTGACCCACCTTCACGTGTCACAAATATATTCTTATCAGATGTCGTTTGGAGGCTCCTCCAAGGTTTGTTCTTCGCTCCAATCACAAGGCCCATTATAAATGGACAATCGAGTCGCAGAGAATGTTCTCGGTACTCTGGGCGCAGTCAGTTCCATCTTCTCGATTGCTAGAGGGTAGACCAAACTAACTATTCTTTCTAGGTTTGCTGGTCTATCCAAGTATGCGGTTGCTATATACCAGCTATTCTTGGACCCGCACTAACCCTTGTATAGCTCCTTCCCCAGATAATCATCAATTACAGGAGACATGACACTGAGGGCCTACAAGGGTCAATGATGCTCTTATGGGCCGTCGCAGGGGTTCCTCTCGGGGTGTATAACATTGTCGAAGAATTCAACATTGCCCTAAGGATTCAGCCCCAAATTCTGACAACACTCAGTCTCCTTACTTGGGCACAGTGTCTCTACTACGGAAAGGTAAACATCTCTCTTTCTATCCAACATGATCCTTGTAATACTCACGCAGACTCAGAAATACCGAATCATGAAGTGCTGTGTCGCCGTCACTTCGCTTCTGCTGCTGTTGGGCGGTATCGAAGCTGGACTCATATTCGCCTTGCGGGCTGCAAAAAGCCGTGGACTGGAATGGCCTCTCATCGTGATGGCAGTGTTAAGTGCATGTTTACTTGCAGCAGGTGTACTGAGACATTACTGGGATATTTATGTCCACCGGACTGTTCGAGGAATCAGCTTCATATTTGTTGGCATTGATGCTGCTGGTGACTTGTTTTCGCTCGTCTCTGTCTGTAAGTCAACTTAATCACTAGGCAGAGATGGTCAATGGCTAATATGCAAGCAGTATTTGGATCGACTATTGATGTTCTTGGAATAATTATCTATGGAACTGAGCTGACCCTTTGGGTGGGCATATTTATCTGCGGTGGTGTGTTCAACCTCCGGCCCTGGATTAAAGAGCGCTCCGAGCAGCAAAAAGGTGATCTTCGGGACCCGGTGTCTCTACATCCAATGCCATCGTCGACTTCTGTGTTCAGAACCGCATCCAGATCTGAAGTGATGGGAAGGAGGCCGTGGCAGAGTTCATGAAGAATCAGCTATTCAACATTTGATACTTTAATATCAAATTACGACTACTTATTCATACATCAAACGGTATGTTGAGGCTGTTGTGATGACCACATTCGCTTGATGTTGTCCCGAGCAGTTCGACGTCTACGAACTGGTATATTCTTGTAGAACTCGAAAAAGGGATGAAGTTGGGTTACGAAAAAGTGGAGCTGGATGGAGCTAGAAATTATGGAGATCATAAGGAGGGGCTGTTGCATAGATTCAGTTTCAACTTTATCTCAGAGGGACTGCGGCTAAAAAGAGTTCCGCCGCATCCCGGACCCGCTTGCTTTCTCGGGATACATTCGCTCTGTGTCTATGAGATTCAACAAGAGGTTATTTTCAAAGTAATATCTGGACGAATATTCACTGGTTGACTATTATGTGGACATTGCTTCGTTTCTTGTATGGCTGTGCCAAGAATCCTCAGTATCATATTTCAGGCTGGTTACACTATCTTACTCCTTATTGTTCCCCGTACTATGCGTGCACATTCTGGCCTAGTGAACGGTAGTCGCCCTTACCTACAGTCTCGCCTTGCTTGCCTTCGGACGTCTCCCGGTATCAACATCAGACCACCAAGGAAAGCTGGGGGGTGCATCACCCTCGAGAGTTGCCTTGAAATTTGGTTTTCGTTTCTCAAAGAATGCTTTGGCGCCTTCCTTTGAGTCCCTATAACACGGTCAGTATTCCTTTTTGTTAATGCTCGATAAGACGGGTTGGAGAAAGCATACCTCCTACTAAGCATATGGTAGAGCACCGCCGAATCAACTAGGTGAGTCTCCTCGGCGCTCCCCGGGTTCTGCCACATGAGTTCTCGCGAAATGTATAATGCCATGGAGCTAACATTCTCTGCAATTTCTGTAGCAAGTTCCAATGCACGTGCAACTACCTGGTTTGGATCAGGGTATGTCTCCTGGAACAAAGTCCCAAAATGCGGCGATGTAGGCGGGAAGATGCCACCAGTTGTGAGCAAGTAGAGAGCATTGGAATAGCCAATCAACCGCGGGAGAAAGAATGAAGAGCTTGATTCCATCGTGAGACCCCGTCGTGGGAAGACAAATCCGTACTTGGATTTCTGGCAGCCAATACGTATGGCAGCTGGTAGACACATCGTCATGCCCAAACCAACAGCGGAGCCATGCATAGCCGCTATAGTAGGCTTGCGACAGCGGTGAATGGCTAAGGCGAGACGGCCGCCGCTATTGATGTCAATATTAGTGGAGCTGATACATAAGCTCTCGGCTGAAGCTTCGTTATCTTACCTATCGCGGTGATCTTTGTTTCTCTCCTTGTCCATTCCACTGAATCCTCGCTCAAGATCCGCACCAGCACAGAACATCTTGCCAGCGCCGGTAAGCACCACGACTTTGACGCGTTCATCAACATCAAACATAGGATATATCTTCTCAAATGCATGCATCATATCTAGAGTGAACGAATTGTGCTTTTCCGGTCGGTTCAGTGTCACCACAACAACAGGGGTAGCTTCAACCGCCCCGGCCGGGTGGTGGGAGACTTTGACATCGGTCAATGAAATAGTCTCGTAAGACTTGGGAATGTCGATAGTGTCTGGGTCGAAAATCATTGTGGTCGCTTGGGGTGGACTAAATTGCAGTTTACTTCGTTATTAGCTGAGATATGACTGAGATATGTTAATGACTTATATGTCAGTCAACTCCTCGGGTTTTCAGCTGGGTATGCAGGCTCGATCACTAATCATGAAGCCCAGGGAATAATCATTAAACTTAGGGAAATTGGGCCGCGGTTGGCATATTCTTTACGGGGATTTGGGATTACATTATCTCGGAACATATTGAAACAGGAGTAACATGTGTCCTGGAGGGTTAACGACTGGTCACTGGACTGACTCATGCGCGATGTACATACAGGCTGAAGTAGTATTACCACAGTTGGCGATCGGCGATTTTCGTAATAACTCCTAGCTTTTCTTTATCACAAAAAGATGTCCGAGCCATCCTCGGGTTACTTTAGCCTCGCCTCTATTTTGGGGTCTGTTCCCGGTCGTTCTTCGCGTCTCTTTCCAGAATAGGCCTGTTCCCAGAGGGAGTATAAATGTCGGACGTAAATTTATGAGGGAATTGATGCCTTGGTTTCCAAAATGGTCTTTGCTTAGGTACATACATTGCATCCAATTCATCGTGTCATATGTCTAGCAAATACCACGGCCATATACTCTGTGGAATGATCTGGCGGGAAAATAGCTGATAGATAGGCAGTCCAGCCAGGAATATCGTTGCAAAACGTATACGCTCTAACAGTTTCACACCATTCTGGCTGCCAGCCTGCAAGCTCCCAATCCAACACTGCAGTGACATGACCACTATCGTCAACCAGTATATTTCTCGGTGCCAGATCACCGTGCGTGAAGACCATATTATCCTCCGGCTGTTTAGTGGCTGTTGTATTTCGAAGGAGGTCTGGGACTGCCATCGTCAATCTCGAAAATAGGTACTCATCGAGGTGCATTGAGTGTCGGGTATATATATTTTTATGATTGAAAGGTCTCGAATGTTCGTACTTTAGCCCTCGTAGTTGCTGTATATATCCGTGCAGTTCCTGCGCGACGGACATTTTTTGTGATGGGATCATGCTGGGCCAGGCATCCTGCAGTGTCTGACCTTCGATATAGTCCATTAAGATAGACTTAACACCACCGTCGTGGATTTGGATCTCGTGAACGCGGGGAATCGGAATGGTCGTGTTTTCGGCAATATAAAGCATATTCTCGGCTTCAAGCTCTATCTTTTGGGGGTGTCCATATTTAAGCAATCTGTTTTTGGCGACTTGGATAATCTTCCGAAGACTGGGTTCTTGTCGCTCTAAGTGCCTCCACTAATTAATATGATGAACTCATCTGAGTTCACTTTTATACATACTGACCCTCGCCAAAGATATCCATCGCGTCCACGTAGACGGCCTGTTTGAGACCCGCCACTGGGAACATGAGCCTAGAAACAGATGGTCAGAAAGCGAGGCGATATTCGATCCACGACCAATCACGTGCATGGGAGTGTCAGATATGCAGTTGGCTGAACGCAGTAACTTGGGAATTCGGACACAGTCCGTAGTCTCAAAGCCACCGGTTCTGCCAGGTGGAGAGTACGGTATCGACGAGGATCGTGTGGAGCACGACAATAATTACGAATGGTAGATACTAAACTATGTTGATATAAGAGCACCATGTATTTTTCTACTCTATGTGGCGTGAATAGTCATGATCAGGAAAGCCTAGGTATGTAGGCTACCCCTCATCTAGCTGGTAGACAAGAATATTTAAACGAAGACCTTGGCCTCGCCGGCCTTCAGCTTACCAGCATCAACAAGGCGCTTAGCCTCGCCAGACCAAGCAGTCTTGACAGCAGCACCATCAGTGCCGGCGATGGTGAGCTTCTCAGCCAGAACGGCGAGCTCATCAACATCAATCTTGCCCATGATAAGGTCGACGTCGGTGAGGACACCGTCGATATCAGCGGCAGTGGGATCACCGGCGGCGAAGTAGTTGACATCCTTGACGGAACTCTTGAGGATACGCTTGTTCTTCTTGGAAGCGTTCTTAGCAGCCTCCTTGGCCTTCTTGTTCTTCTCACGGTCAGCCTTGGCGGCCTCCTCAGCATCCTTCTTGCGCTGCTCCTCGGCGGCCTTGGCATTCTCCTTCTCCTCCTTGAGACGGCGGATCTCCTCCTCCTTGGCGAGGCGCTTAGCGTCCTTTCCGGCACGAGCCTGCTGGCGGAACTTCTTAATACGCTCATCGGAAGCGAGACACTCGTCAACGAGCTCACGCAGACGGATGGTGTCCTCAGTCTTGCGCTTGCGGCGGGCGTTGGCATTCTTCTTCTCGACGTGACGTTTCTGGTCACGGCTCTCTCCATCATCAGGCACATCCTCATCGAGGTACTCGAAGGTCCTCCAGCTGTCAACGTTGTACCAGAAGTTGTAGAAAGTCTCGACGTGCTCCTGGGTGCTGTTCTCGTCTCCGAGTGTGGGCACAGGCTGCTTGTTGGAGAAGCGACCCTCGGCAACGAAAACAGGGCCCCAGGCCTTGTAGAACTTGCTACCAGTGACCTTCTTAGTGGGGGGGCTCAACGTCGGCATTCTCATCGACGGAATCGAACTGGCGACGACGAGCGGGGTCGAGAAGCAGATCGGTGGCCTTCTGGATACACTTGAAGAAGCTGTCGTTCTCGTCGGTGTTACCCTGGGCGGCCTTCTTGTCAGGGTGGTGACGCAGGACCTTCTTGCGGTGAGCCCGCTTGATCTGCTCGGGGGTTGCACGCCAGCGGTACTTTTTCAAACCCAAAACGGCGTAGTGATCTTGGCCCTGCTAGGAGTTAGAAATCAATTAAGCAGGATAAATGTGACCTTACTGACCTTCCAGTCCTTGGCCTCACGGGCAAGCATCATGGGGTCCTCATCTTCAGAGATATCATCATCCTCCTCAGTCTCAGTCTTCTTGACGTTGCTCTGGGCCTGGAGGCGCTCATCCTCGGAGAAGGTACGGTTGTGACGGGACTAAAAAGTGTCAGTTTTGACCAAACAGAAAATTTAGTGAATTTGGAGATCTTACTCGGCGAGCGTGAGCCAGGAAGTGCGGGCCAACGGGCTCCACGTTGCGCTTGGTGGCACCGGAGAGAGCACCGACAATCTTGAAATCCTTCTCACCAGCCCAGCCCTGAGGCAAGGTAGGGAGGGAAATATCAACAAGTTGAGCAGCAGCCATTGTATAATGGTATTGGTGACAGTACCAAGTTGTGTGTGGAGAGCGTTGGGTCCCGCGATGGAATTTTTTGCATACCTTTTTTTCTGCCCCCAATATCCGCCCCTCTAGCCAATCACGGCTCATATGTTTTGGAGTATCGAGATTGGCGATGGCGCCAGGCCTTGCTTCTTCTGTTAACTTGTACATTCAAATTTTCTGGTCTGGTCGGTCTGCATTCTTGTTCGGGCAATTGTAACTCCTACATCGCATCTCCAGTACTACCTATTAACCTCATCCCCATCTCCTTGTTCGTACCGATCATCCGCAGCGACAGTTGCAACCTGTGCTTCTCGACCTGTTGCTACATACACTCACGTCTATATTTCTCGTGACATTCACATTCCACATTTCACTATGGCTACCTCCACTTCTGCTGCCGCTAAGAGTGCCTATCGGCAACTTCTCCGGTCCACCCGGGTTGTCTTTCACAGTTCGTTTGACAAACACACCCGCCACCGAGGCATCTGTTTCATCCATACTGACATCCGTTATAGACGATCTCCCAGTCCTCCTTGCGGCACGTCAAGAAGCACGCCAGAACTTTGAAAAGAACCGTCGCCCAGCTGTCGATACCGGAATGCAAATCAACCATGCGATTGAGGTTGCGAACATCCTGCGCCACAACATCGTCCAAGGTTCGAGGGAGAAGGGGAATGAAGCTGCTAAGTGGGGTATGTGTTTTATGAATCTGGCGATTCCACTTCATGGCTTGGTAGTCATAGTGCTCGTACAAACTGTTTACTAACGACCGATTGTTTCTACAGAACTCAATATCCACGACCAGATCGAACGTGGTGATAATGACTCTGTCAAAGTTGGGGATCAGGATGTGAAGATTCACAAGGCTTGCTCCTCATGATGGGATGTTTTTTTTTCCCTGCTACGATGCTCGGTTGAATCTGGGCGCACTCTCCGAGTTCATTCAAAGTCCAAAAGCGACACTGACAACAACGTTGAAGCCAGTCTGTGAACATATGTCAAACCGATGGCACATGGCAGTAAAACAAGCTACGACAGTGACCGGACATGTATTATAAGATACCCGACTCTTTTATTAATTGGCGTCTTCGGGGTATTTTCGATTGAAGTACATAGATCTGCATAGAATAACCCAATCCTTGATAACGCCCGCTCCGAACCCTAAGTTACATGCAACCTCGATTTGATTTGATGGTATCTCCGTACACTTTCTGCTCAATCGCCATTCATGCTGGCGTACTGGACCTCGCCCGATCCAGGTGGCGGTGCAACAACATGAGGCTGAGCTTTCTCCTGGCCAGCACTCTCACCTGCAGAGGCTACGGCTCGTCGGTCGGCTTGCTTGCCTTTACCAACGGATCCCATAGTCTGGCGACCCTCGCGAGCATTTTGAATTCTCTCTTCTCGGTCCAGGTTATCCAGTGGCTTCGGCTTTCCCCAACGAACACGAAGAGGGCAGCCCTGAATGATGGCCTTGCCTTGACAGTGGTTTGCGGCGGTTTCGGCGTCCGCACGGTTGACGTAGTTGATGAAAGCACAGTGGGAGCGGTGGGAGCAGATAAGAGAGCGGAGCTGGCCGAATTCGCTGAAGAATGTGCGGAGAGCATGTTCAGGGAGATCATCTTCCACACCTGTAATGAACAAGGAAGTGACGTTGGGATCCGCGGGGGGAAGAATATCCGCAGCCGAGGGCGGCAACTGAGTGGTACTGGGGAATGGGCGACCACCGTGACCACCGCCTCGTCCTCCACGGCCTGGAAGGCGGTTTCCGACACGGCTTTCACTGGTGCGAATTGGACCGGGCCCATTTCCATAGCGGCTGTTTGTTCGTGGTTGGTCCGTCGCCGTACCTTCCTCTACTTTCTCCTCAGCAGGTGCTTCGATTCGTCGGGGCTTGCGGTAATATGGTTCGCTGTTTGCAAGGCGTCGCAACAGTTCCCGGGCCTTGTCGTCTGTCTTCTCGTATTCTTCGATGGCACCACGTCCCTCTTCGATTTCCTTCTCGTTGTTTTGCGCGTAATACTCGCGATTAATGGAGCTTTCTGGTCCTGGGGCGACCATTTTGAGAGCAGCATCACGGACGGCAAGGGGAAGGCCGAAAGACAAGTCCAGCATGCAGCATTGACAGCAGTTCTTCAGTCGCGCGCATGTGAGACAGATGATGGATCGCTTTTGGCGGGAGGTCCGATCGGCCTTCCATCGGAAGATAGTGAAAGGGCGTGTACACTAAGTAGTTGTTAGTATGTGCTTATGAACTAACTTCGAGGGGGCAAAAAAAAAAAAAAAAGACTTACAATCTTGCATTCTGCGCCATGATCTTCCTTGATCATTTGCACGTAGGGATTTTCGGGAAGGCAGTTCTCGCAGACAGAGGGGAAGTCTGTCGACTCCCAACCGGATCGGTTCAAATCATGTTTAATTTGGGGAGGCATCTCGGATAGTATGAGGTTCGTGCGTCTCAAGAAGTGAGAGAGCTTCCGAGATTGGAGTATCAAGATCAATGGAAGTGGCGTGTGGGATAATGTGGCTAGTGAGTTTAAGTCACGTGAACCCAATCCGTCAGGTCACCTTTTTTCCCACCGGGTGACCCAGTGTCCGACTCAGCCACAGACCGGAAGGTACTGTCCCGCGAGAAAAAACGAGTGTGGCCACTCCCCAAACTGCCCTCCCCAGAGGACAAAGCTCGGTCTAGTCGTTCGGAGGAACCCCCTGATTGGCTCTCCACTTTGGATTGCCAAAAAGTTGCTTGGGATTCGACTCTTATTTATTTCCCCTTTCTCCTACTTCTCCAAGTCGCTATTCATTCACTTCAATTGTACTCTCTTGCTTCGCTTCTCTTGTGATATTTCCAGTCTTGGTTCACCTTGTCTTTCTTTCTTGGAAAATCTTGGAAATTGACGCCTGTTTGCCTCTTATAATCTACCCCTTTTAATCTCTGCGACTCGCTTCTTCACCATGGCTCCCTCTGCATTGGAACGTGAGGATAAGGCGCGTGATGCCGCCTTCAACAAGGTTCTGCACGGCAAGTCTGCCAAGGCCCAGGGTGGTCTCGCTGCCCTGCGCGGAAAGGACGCCGCTGCCCAGAAGGCTGCCGTCGAGGAGTACTTCAAGCACTGGGACAACCAAGCTGCAGTTGATGAGACACCTGAGATCCGTGAGGTATGGCACCGCGCACCCAACGCAATTGATTCTTATCACTAACAATTCCTGCGTGATAGGCCCGCAAGGCTGAATATGCTACCTTGACCCGACAGTATGTTCGGAAACAAACCCCATTGATCGACGCTCCTTATACTGATGATTCTTTAGCTACTACAACCTGGCTACCGACTTCTACGAGTACGGATGGGGTTCTTCCTTCCACTTCTGCCGCTTCGCCTACGGTGAGCCTTTCCACCAGGCCATTGCCCGCCATGAGCACTACCTTGCCCTCCAGGCTGGTATCACGGAGGATATGAAGGTTTTGGATGTTGGCTGTGGTGTCGGTGGTCCTGCCCGCGAGATGGTCAAGTTCACTGGTGCTCACGTCACCGGTCTGAACAATAACGACTACCAGATCGACCGCGCTACCCACTACGCGCACAAGCAGGGTCTCTCGGACAAGATGGCCTTTGTCAAGGGCGACTTCATGCAGATGAACTTCCCTGACAACAGCTTCGATGCCGTGTACGCCATTGAAGCCACCGTCCACGCCCCCGAGCTGGTTGGTGTTTACAGCGAGATTTTCCGTGTCCTAAAGCCTGGTGGTACCTTCGCTGTGTACGAGTGGCTTATGACCGACGACTACAACAACGATGATGCTGAGCACCGTCGCATTCGTCTCGGTATCGAGCAGGGTGACGGTATCTCCAACATGGTCCGTATCTCCGAGGGTCTTGAAGCTATGAAGAACGCTGGATTTACCCTAAAGCACCACGAGGATCTCGCTGCTCGTCCCGACCCTATCCCCTGGTACTACCCGCTGGCGGGCTCCTTCAAGCACATGGGTTCGCCCTGGGACTTCTTCACCATTGCTCGCATGACCTGGTGGGGCCGTGGCCTTGCCCACCGCTTCGTCGGTGCCGGCGAGTCCATCGGTCTCTTCCCCAAGGGTTCCCAGAAGACCGCCGACAGTCTGGCCGTGGCTGCTGACTGTCTGGTCGAAGGTGCTAAGAAGAACCTCTTCACCCCCATGTACCTCATGATCGGCAAGAAGCCCGAGTAAATCTTGAGAAACAATGGTGTTTGCGGTCTTTCTGTGTAAAAAAATATTATCCCTGGCGTGCACGTTCTCCCCTGGTGCTCATCTTATTTCATTTTATGTTCTTTACGTTACCCTCCGCATGTCACCAGGGGGCTTTTCTTGGCTCAAACCTGACCCAATGTCGGCAGAGAACGAGCCACGTGCCGCTTTCTCCTAATTCATGGTTTCGTTAATTTTTTTCTTTCTTTCTCTTGTTTCTTTTACCTGTCAAGATAACAATGTAATAGTCATTGAGCCAAGAATAACGAGCAAAGGATTGGTATTGTTTTATGTTTGTTTTGTCCCTATGTATTCGCAGCGCATCTACTGTTAACTAGTTACATAGTAACTATAACTGGTAGTTATGGTACATGTCTTTGATTGATGGCTTTGGACCACTGCCTTATGAACTATGATGATCCCCAAGGGAAGCCATTTAGAAATAATCCGTCTCTGTCATATTATAGGTATCCCGAGACTGGAGGAACGGATTTCGGTCCGAGTACGTCCGTATAAACATTAGTATCATATAGCTCCCTGGCACCATACGCACAGAGCAACTCTACCATAGCTGCTGCACCACTTGGATTGGAACAATTGAAAACCCACCACAAAATTGACTTTGATGAATAGCATGAGGTTCCCCCAACAGTGAGATTCGGGTCTGCTCCCCGACGAAGCAGTAGTTCCGCCACTTCAACGTTACCTTGCCAGATAGCCATATGGAGAGGTGTCTGGCCCATTACAGACTCATTCACGTCTAGGCCCCTGGCAATCATCTTTTCGATGAATGAACAGTTCATTGATCTGGTCGCATGAAGCATTGACGTCTCCTTTTTCCAATATGAAACAAGAGGATCTGCCCCGTGATCAAGCAAAAGCTCAGCAACTCCATAATGTTTCAGCTTCATAGCCTTTGCGAGAGGCGAGAGCGGTTTCCCTGAGTGGTGGGTTTTTGAGCCATCGAAGTTGCGCGCATAGTCATTAGGATTGGCACCGCAGTCAAGAAGCATCTTGATAGTATCGTAGTGGCAGTGTGATATAGCCCAGAACAAGACTGACTGATTCCGCGATGCTAGTTTCGGATCTGAGCCCTTCTCAAGAAGTAACCGCACAAGATCATCCCTACTAAACGGCCGAAGCGTGCTGTGTCCCCGAACAGCAAGCCAGAGAGGTGTTATTCCAAACTCTGGATCGGCATAGTTGGGGTTAGCACCATTCTCCAGCAATAATGACACAATCTCTTTGCTGGTAGAGCGATTAGGGCGTATCGAGTAGTTTGTATTCGGTACGGGAACACCAAAGTCGGCAACAGCGAGGCAAAGCGGTGTTTGAGCAATCCTGGATCGAGTCCCGCATGCTTCAGTATCGGCACCTTTATTCAGGAGCATCTTCATAACTCCCTTGAGCCGGAGTAGAGTTGCAAGATAGAGCGGTGTCTGATTCTGCGCGTTCCCCACGTTGATTCCGGCGCCTAGTTCCAACAGCTTCATTACTTCTCCGGGTGTTCGTGATTCTATTACTGCAAGACAGAGCGGCGTGTTGCCCCCGCGAAATCTTGTATCAACATGGACTCCCAATCGAACCATCTCTTCAACCAAGGGTGGACAACCAGTCGAGGCTCCTAAATAAAGAAGCATAGGCCCATACTTCTCCATGGTGTATGGATCTTCCAGTGCCATAGTCAGTTTGGGAAGATCGTAAGCTAGAGACCTAGCAGGCTTGCTCCCACAGTTACAGAAACCAGCTCTCTCAAGGATGCCGCTGCGACTCAGCAAAAACAGGGCACACTCTATATGACCGTTTGCCACAGTGGCAGGCACAATAAGTGCTATTCTGTGCATGTATTGTTTGCAAGTGAGGTTCTCATACTCTCCTGTAGCAAGAGTATAATCCACGCATGGGGTATGGCCACCCTCAGCAGCCAGACGGAGAGTGGCTTTGCGCGCTGGCCCGTCATTCGGCAAATTTGGGAAATTGGTTTCCCACATAATCTCTGGACGGAGACCTCTTCGCACAAGGTCTTTCATCATATCCAAATGGCCATTTCTTGCGGCCTGACCCAGAAGTTGCGCATCACAGCGATGGTGGGCACATTCCCCATGAATATCAGCGCCAGATTGAAGAAGTGTATTAATCATAGAGACACGACCCCCTTGGACTGCCCAGCAAAGTGGAGAATGGAAGATTTGACAGTCTCGTGTTGGAAACCTCAGGTCTCTCGTTATATTTGACGAGTCTACTGCCAGAGATCTTTGGACGACAGTGTCATAGCCGCGGAAGGCGCCGAATGCCAATGATGTTTGACCACAATGTTGTGTATTGAACTTGTACAAGCGGGGTTCCAACTGTTCATATAGCCATTTGTTTGTTTGTGAAAGCGAATTTAAGCCTCTTTGGGTTGCGATAGAAGCGTGATTGTTGCTCGATTCCGTTGCAGCGAATTGGGAGAAGAGGGAGTCGATTATAAGCAGCACGATCTCAACAGGTAAATCTAGAAGCGAGGTCATATTGTAAATTGGATCGACGTATGTGATCAATACGAGAATTCTTGTGCGTCGGGCACACAAGAACTACAAGGCGTTAACCGACTGAACACTTTCGGGGGAGTTTAACTGGCTGGGGCTGCAGCTCAAGCACCTATAGCCCTGTGTAGCCGATCCTTACATAATGTGATATCACATCCTGGGGCCCTAGAGTATCGAGTATTTCGGTATAAGTTGAGGGCTGTGTGGAAACTTGTGAAAATGAAGTGTAACATGATCAGATGCCAAGGGGGGTAGCCGGGGTAGTCTGATGGCACTTTGTGGAAGCTTCCAAGGTTATGGGCGAAGACTGCATCTGAGAGTCCAGAATCAGGAATATCTTTACTATTCGGATTCTTCCCTCGAATTGTCACTCAATTTCCCCATTCCAGACACAGACTGGTGCCAGTGATAGGATCGAAAAGGAAACGCACGACCCCCAACTTTGATCGCCAAGCCTCGAAACCCATGATTAGACCTCAGGATTAGACCTCAGGATAGCCCACAGACCCCATAGCCCAGACCAACCCAACCCACCAAATGGTCTGGTTTTTGGGCCTATGCCTCGGCCCATCGGTGGATTATAGGCCCGGAGCATGTCCGTTCCTGAGAGCAACATTTTCAAGGTACATTTTATTGAAGTCTTTTCTCCCATATATTCAGAGAAAGTAACAGATAAAGCAAGAAAAAACACCTAAACCGTAAAATTATACTGTTCTGCTTGGAACTAAGGAAGGACTTCTAACGTCTCAATACTAGTTAGAAGACATATAAAGAGATATATAAAGAGACAACTAGAAAGATAACAAGAAAGATAACAAGAAATACCCTAAGGAGAACATCCAAAAAGAAGATCTAGTAACCTGTGAAGTATATAACTAACTAGGTGTAAAAATAAAAGAGAAGTTGAAACACATGGAATTGTTGGATTGTAGATACCAACAATGTCGAAGATCTGGTACCACCTGGCGGAGTAGGTGAACTGCTGCTAGAAGGTCCCAGTCTAGGACGTGGTTATCTCAACGATCCGGCCCGGGCGCCAATATATTGACCTGCATAAAATACCTAGATCTACTTACACGTATCTTGCTTCGAAGATCTCCAATGCTGCGTGCACTTCAGCCAGCCCAAGTGAGCTCAGGGCGCGAGATACCCCGTTGCCTATAGGTTTAATGCCATTGAGACCATGGGTATGACCCTTCCGGGCTCATCTTCCAACCCGGCCAGCTCCCAGGCCAAGTACGTTGAGTGTCTCGTGGCTGGTGGTGCCATCAAGAGGCTGCTCGCCGACCCGCAGGCTTTTGTCAGCGCTTCTCAGCGCTTGTCTCAGCAGTTGGTAGCAGAAATCTTGGTCTCAATCCATGCCGGCTCTGATCTCCTGCCGCCCAGAACAATATAGGTGTTATGGTGGGTGTCACTGTGTGACAGGACTGTAGTCTCCCCTCCATCTTCTTCTTTTCCCCTTCTCCCTTAGCAGTTAGCAGTTACCAATACAATTGCTCTCTCTCTCTCTTCTCATGTCTATATAGAGAAGTAATTAACTTCCTAGAATTAGTGGTAGAAAGGATCTCCGAAATTGTAGATTGAGAGGTACGATGATCATATATATTTCGTAGAACCAAGTTAGGCCGCGCAAAAATTCGCGATCAATGCCCTATGTCCTTAGATTCTGCAACCTTCAAAATGGCCACATCAAGCAAAATTTGCATTACACCGGAGAATGCTGGAGTTTTTAGTTCTTCGAACTTGAGTCCGGCCTCCGCCCGGAAAGTGAGCGAGGTGCTTCAGCATGATATGGATAATCATCATACTTATCTGAACAAGATTCAGTTTCACGGTAAGCTTGCGGCATTCCAGCCTGGCAGCAGAAAAGAAAAGTTAACGCAGAGGTAGATCATATCGTGCATTTTATGCTCACGATCTGGGCTCTTGGAGCGTCTCCCGAGACTATCCAGCTGCAATATGAACGGGAGGATAAGCGTCAGCGCCCTGCTTTCCCGCGGAATGAGAAATTCATTGCTTCGTTCGCCGACAAAGACGAATTTATGAAGCACATGTTTCAAGAAGAACACTACTCCAACTACCTCGCCTTTTTCCAACGCGAGATTGCTACCAAGGGTGTTCCAGCTACCTTGAAGGCATATTTATTCAATGGTGACAAGCTTGCTGAATCATTGCTTTCCCGAATATTTGCGGGTCTTGTTCATCCGATCATTCATCTTGGCTTCGGTATTGAGTTCGTTCCAACAGCCTGCGATCGTTGCGCAAGCCCTAGCACAGGCGTCGGTTCATCAAGACTACCTTTGAGATAAATTTTTCAATCCTGCTACAGATGCTGCGGCGGCGGCAGCCATCTCACACGCTGAGAGATCTCTTCTACAAATTATGAAAGAGATGCGCGTAGATGAAAGAGTCAGGAACGCCTCTAAACATGGAGACACAGACATTTTTGAAGATGGTATTCTGAAGCGGGCTGCGGGCTAGCGAGGAGGTTATTCACCACTGCAGCAAGTGGTCTGTACCCGAGGATAAAATCCCGGAAAAGCTTGCGGAAATGGTCAATACAACAAGTATGTGTTTTATATATGCGCTGGGATTCATCTCCCCTTCTAACATCCCCTTCTAACATCTCGATAGTTTATTGGACTGCCACAGCGCAGAACCCAGAGAAAGAGCTGAAGCTAGACTTTTTCTTCATTCATGCTGTGAATCTCTCTATTTTATTCAAGGCATTTATGGGACTACCATACATTGAAGCATCAATGAAGAGTCGCCTTTTAGAAATGAAGGGCCGGATGGATCTTTTGATCTGGGCACCTCGTAAAATGCCGCAGCCCCAGGTCGACGACATATTGAATTATCCAATTCATCTTGGCTGGCCCAAGGTATTCTCAAAGAGTTACCTGCATCCTTCAGATGACGGCCATCTGGCTAAGTTTGTTCGAACTGTTGCTTTCGCAGAGGAACTCTGCCGTCCCTTTGAAACGAAGCTACCAAGCGATAATCTTCCAGTCTCTGGAGACATGTGGCTGAAGATTGGCAATATGGGTAAGTTTGGCCGATTATTCCTTGAAGGATATTCTCTGACGTATGAATTTATTCAGCTGTTGATACCACTGGGGTGATTTTCAGTGATATTTGGGTTCGCGGGGCTGGGTTTGCCGAGCCTTGGGCTAAGTTCGGACCACGGAGGTAGACATGGATGAGGACCGAACTAAGGTGCCAAGCGAGGCAGAACGTATAGCTATTAATACGACTAAGGTACATTATGACAACCTTTGTGGATATATTACCTACGCAACGTATTTCTGCTAGAAGAAGGGAGTGAATGTGATCTCTAAGAGGGCAAAAGTCCTTCCTAGGTACTTCCAAGTCTTACAGTATCTTTATAGATGAGATATCTCTTTGTATGCAGACTAAGCCTTTTGCATGTTTTAGTGCGAGGTCAACGCTATTGAAGGTAGAGTCGATTGGTTGCTTAAGTGGTACAATGCCTTAGCTAGATCACCAATCGAGAGGCAGTAAATTGTCACCTAGATCCAGAGTGTCTATCGGTTCCCCGCTGGTCACGAAATCCGGCCATAACGCTATAGGATTTTGGGGATAGTTCGCTGAGAGAAGAGAAGTGGCAGAGTTGGTCATATAAGTTTGTTAGCGGCCTCACCGCTCTCTTCTCTGATATACTTTGTCTGCACCCGTGGTCAGTCACGTTTCTTTTTTAGCCAGCTAGATTTAGTGGAATCCGTACTCCGTACTGTATGTCGTTATATGCTCTTAATCATTCACTTACTCCACTTAATGCCTAACTTTTAACGAGATCGACTTCACCGCCACTTTCACAACAATCCTTCCTATTTAGGCTTTCCTATAAGGTGACCCCCAATACGGCCTCAAAACAACAGGCACAATTACTATATAGAGCCTAACAATACATATAGATGGAGTACCTACCAAATCTAAGCATATTATAAGGGTTCTTGAGGCCATCTTATGTTAATGAAATAAATATGTTCAGTCACATAGAGAAGAGTTGTATATATGTTCAACAGTTCCATTCTCGGCGAGTTCATTTTACGATACTGTACCCGGTTCTTGCCAAGTAACCCCACCCCCTGCGGGTGTTGCCGCAAGGGGGTGGGGTTGCTTGGCAAGAACCGGGTATATTGGTACCACATCGCATCGCGGGGCAGCAGAGGTGGCTGGCTGAATGATCTGCAAAAACAAACCGCAAAACATAGCATAGAAACTCCCACTCTTGATTTGTAACTCGTCCGTTGTCGTCCGTAGTGGAAAATAGCTCGAAGTTCGTGGCTAGCGAATACGAGCGATCCCTCTGTTTTTTTACGCCACGGGTTGGAAATTTACTATTGAGGAAATGGTTACCATTCCTTTGGTTTGGTTGGAGGGGATATAAGGTTGTATCCGCCATCGGTCCGTTCATTCTTACTCGGACAACGCGCTATATATAATGTGAATATAGCAATCAGTAGTGCTTTCTGCTAGCCCACTCGGTAGTACAATACATTACCGTCACCGTATCCGCCCTCGCTTACTAGGCTTACTAACCCCACAGTCTTTATAAACCCTCGAAACCGAAAGGTCACTCTTTATAGACTCATTCATCACCTCCGATATTGGCGAGCTTTCCGTGGTAGATTAGCTTAGCTTAGGATCTAGCGATAGGTAAGTCTCTAGAGACACTAAAGGGTCATAGTTATTTTATTAATTTTGTGGCCTTCTCACCAGACTACAATATGTTGGAGTCGCCCTTGAGACCATCTGATAGACTTATTGGTGGTTTGGCCTTCTCACCGGATGGCAAGGTGATCGCATTAGGGTCAGGGGGTCATAAAATCCGGCTCTGGGATCCAGATGCAGAAGACGATTCTCTAAAGATACTCGAAGGCCATACTGATTATGAAAGTGATGAAATCCACGCTATGGCTTTTTCACCGGATAGCAAGATGATTGTGTCAGGGTCGTGGCATCATATAGTCCGGATCTGGAATCTGGCAGACGGTTCATCGAAGACACTCAACGGCCATACTGCTTATGTCAAGGTTGTGGCCTTCTCACCAGATAGCAAGATAGTGGCGTCGGGATCAGAGGATGCAACAATCCGGCTCTGGGATCTCACGAACTTGGATGACATTTCATCGAAGACACTCAACGGCCATACTGCCCCTATCAATGCTGTGGCCTTCTCACCGGACGGCAGGATGGTGGCGTCAGTGCAAGACTGTCGTGGTGAAGCAACACTCCGACTCTGGGATCTAGCAGGCAATTGTCTGAAGATAGTTCCAGACCAATACGACGCACTGGCCTTCTCACCGGATGGCAAGATACTGGCATCATTATCTCTGAATTGTACGATCCATCTTTTGAATCTGGCAGACGATACATCGAAGACACTTGAGGGCCATACTAGTGGTATCACTGTTATGGCCTTCTCACCAGATAGCAAGATAGTGGCTTCGGGATCACAGGATAAAACAGTCCGGCTCTGGAATCTGGCCGAAAATTCATCGAAGACACTCCGCCATAGCCTGGGATCATATGCTTACATCAATGCCATTGCCTACTCACCGGATGGCAATATGGTGGCATCATTGTCAATAAGTACTTCCGATTCTACGGTAGCACTCTGGAATCTGGAAGGCGATTGTCTGAAGACACTCAATACGCGTGCATATGATCCTAGGTATATGGCCTTCTCACCGGTCAGCAAAAAGCTGGCGACGGCAGACAACGAAGATAGAGCTGTCCGGCTCTGGGATACAGAGAAAGGCGATATTTTACGGACATTCAAGGACCCCCCTGCTTCGATCAATGCTATGGCAATAGCATCGGATGGCAGTGGATTCATGGTGACAGCATCAGATGATAAAATGGTCCGGTTATGGGGTAGGCAAGGCATGCCGCTGGGGACATACGAGGGTCATAGCGCTTCTGTCGATGCTATAGCCTTCTCACCGGATAGCAAGATAGTGGCTTCGGGATCAAAGGATAACACAGTCCGGCTATGGAATTCCCCGGAATTCGATGCCATTTCATCTAAGACACTCAACGGCCATACCGCTCCTATCACTGTTGTGGCCTTCTCACCAGATAGCAAGATGGTGGCGTCGGGATCAGAGGATGCAACAGTCCGGCTCTGGGATCTCACGAACTTGGATGACATTTCATCGAAGACACTCAACGGCCATACTGCCCCTATCACTGCTGTGGCCTTCTCACCACATGTCGAATTAGTGACGTCAGTGTCAGCTGACAAAACGGCGCGAATCTGGGAATACTAGTTACATGTAACTAAACCTAAGGAATGGAAGAAAGCGCCCAACAATATGTATGGAAATATGGCCACTCTGGCGACTAAGTATGCCGACACATGTAATGTTAAACGTCTAATAGTTATCTAGAATATGGAATAAGTAGGTATTTATAGGTAGACATTACCGGCGTCTTGTGTGCTCCCGAGCGGTTTGCAGGGGTTGCATACTCTCGGTGCCTCAGGTAGGTGAGCCTTGGCTTAGCCAAGGATCACCAACGAGCCGCCACCTATCCCAAAAAGCGTCAATTAATTTAACCCCTCTGATCAACCCCTCATAAAGGCCCCTTCATTGTGGGCCTTCATAATATTCAAACTAAACTATAAACCTTTGTTTATATTCCGGAGTCCACTAGTATACAATATACGAAGACTAAGCGAGGTTACGTGAATTGTAACCGAAGGGCCCCCTTTAAGTCAGTCCATTGGGGTCCTATGCCTTTGTCCTATATAGTGCAAGACGTGACAGTTCAAGTTCTTTCTCACCCATCAAATTGCAAGTATATTTCGTATTTTAAAACGCTCGCAGCGATTTATCATTAATCACCAAACAGACTCTTAATCTCGCGTCGTGGTCCCTATTATCCTGCTTAGCAATCGATGCCCGGTAGTGGCTTCGAAGAAGATCTTTAGAAGCTGACTCAAACTAAGTTGGGTCTTCAATGATAACCGGGTCAAATTGCGCCCAAAGATCGTCAAATAGAATTGTGGCTTGATCTCGCTTTGGCTTGGCTTGGGTTGAAGCGTACTCGGAATGAAAGGCGAATTTGATATGACTGTTTATCAAGTCGATCATTTTCGAAAAGAGAGCGCCTAACTAGAGACTGTAGGTCGTACGGTAAAGGACATACCCCCATCCCCTCTTCTATCTTATGGGGTGCCGGAGGAGCTTCCTGGAGCTCGAAAGCCAGTCGAACGTCATTTGGATATTGGAGTTGGCAGGTAAGAGTTTTGGAGTCAAAGAATTGCTATTAGGATGATCGGGACGCGTAGAAACCAAGTGTACTATGTTGCATGATCCTCTGGCGGTTGTCAAAAATAATCTAGCGACACATGTCAGTACATTTCATTAATAACTAGGATCGATCTGAGAGTGCCGAAGGTCTCTTAGCGTGCTACTAGGCATTCGATAGAAGTGTGCATTGTCAAATTGCCGAATTGCCTGCATTTCGCATCTCCTTGGTACTCGCATCTCGCATCTCGCATCTCGCATTCGCATTCCAGGAAGTCAGTGAGACTATCGCGGTGGCTGACATGTAGGTCTTAGGTGTAGGTATTTTTTTTTTGTTCTTTCCGAGTCTCTTTTGATTCCTTAGGGAAAGTGTTACCCATGCTGCCATCCTGTCACTTCAACGTCTTCACCCCGTCGATATATACTATCGCGTTAAAGAAGATAGTACGACCACTCACAAATATAAAGAGAACCTACTACAATTTCTGTAGAAGTTGCTTGGCGGTCAGCAATCAGCTCTAGATATTTCAAGTTAATCTAGAAGGCAATTGCGTCCCATCAAGGTGTGTCTGACCAGTACCAAATCAATCCTCTGATAAAGGTGAAGCCGCCGCAAAACCCGTAGGCTCTCTCAACTAGCAGCAGTGTCCCACCTCAAAATTCAAGAAATTGTTGACCATGACAGACATTAGACCATAATCGATCGCGATGAAGCATGAATACTAGTATTTACGTCCATATGATCTAGGATTTGAAGACTTTAAGGCTATGACTTAACCCGATCGAGATTTCCTCGTTGACTTTCTGTTGTGGCTTTCTACAGGGTGTTGACTAGAAAGCGGGTACGGGAGTTGAATCTGCCGACCTACTGAGGGGTTAATGCCTGAGGCATTAATATAGATGCCTAAGGCCGCCACCATAACCCAGCAGCCAGTCAGCCCTGCATCGATAACCACGTGCTATCGGTTATGCCGTGTAACATAGCGCCCTCTTCCAGCCGATGAGGGGAATGTCATGCCTCCAAGGCTGGCTCGGGTATAAGATCGCGTGTCGCCCGACCAACATACCCCTCCGTTACCTTTCTCGTCGCAGCTGCTAGTTACTACCGCGATCCCAGACATGTTCACCAAACAAACTCTTCTCGTGTTTGTCGGAGCCCTGGCCCTGGCCGTGGCCAAGACAACTACTGAAAAGACCCCAACTCAGGCTGAGATCGATGCAGCCCGTGATACGGTCCTTCCTTACTCCCCTGTGTCAAACATCAAGGGGCTGGCTTTCAATCGTTTCGTGAACATCTGGCTAGAGAACACAGTGGGTCCCCTCCCCTTGCATGAATAATAATGGCCACATGCTTACTCCTTTGCAGGACTATGAAACAGCTGCTTCAGATGAGAACTTGTCTAAGCTGGCTAAGGAGGGTATCCTCCTGACCAACTACTTTGCCGTCACTCACCCTTCAGAGCCCAACTACTGTGCCTCTGCCGGGGGTGACACTTTTGGCATGGACAGTGATGACTTCCTGCAGATCCCTGCCAATGTCTCCACTATTGCCGATCTGTTCGATACCAAGCACATCGCTTGGGGTGAGTACCAAGAGGACATGCCCTATGCCGGCTACCAGGGTAAACGGTACCCCCTCGGCGGGCCGAACCAGTACGTGCGCAAGCACAACCCGCTAGTTCTGTATGATTCGGTTACCGACGACGCCGTGCGCCCGCGCCAAATCAAGAATTTCACCACTTTCTACGAGGACCTAGAACACCACAGTTTCCCCCAACACATGTTCATCACACCAAACATGACGAACGATGCCCACGATACCGACATCACTGTGGCCGGTGACTGGGTCGCTCGCTTCCTGCCTCCCCTGCTGAAGAACGAGCACTTCAACAAGGATAGCCTAGTGCTGCTCACCTTCGATGAGGGTGGTAATTACTCCCACCCCAACCGGGTCTTCAGCTTCCTAGTTGGAGGTGCTATCCCGAAGCACCTGAAGGGCACCACCGACGACACTTTCTACACACCCTACTCAATCATCGCCTCCCTGTCTGCTAACTGGGGTCTGCCATCCCTTGGACGCTGGGATTGTGGCGCCAACCTGCTGAATATGGTCGCTGAGAAGACCGGCTATGTCAACTGGGAAGTTGATACTAGCAATGCCTACATCAACCAGACTTACCCTGGCCCTCTGTCTACCAAGAACTATTCCTCCAAGTGGGCCGTTCCTGCCACCAAGGGCAAGTGCTCTGCTGGCCATGGTATCGCTGAGATCGTGAAGAAGACCTACGACGGTCTTCACCCTACCTACGACTACACCAGCCCCGTGCCGTACGACGCGGCCAGTGGAAACAACGTCGGCATCAAGTACCAGCGTACTCTGGTATGGCCTCTTTCTCTCTTTTTTCCCTTTTAATATTTGATGCTAATGATTTATAGAAACACGGTAAGACCGAATCTGGTATCACCGGGTAAACCAGCGATCCATATATGTAAATACGACGCACTACGACAGGTGTGCTTATCTATAAAAAGTCAATTCAACTACATATTGCTCTACTACGTTACAAGGGGTTCTCCGGTTTTACTGCATCCACTGCTGATACTCCGGATGACTTGGCTTCGAACCTACCATCCACACAGACTTCATATACTAAGGAGTATTGGGGGCTACCCAGTTTAACCTATTCCCATAAGGAACATACAATATAAGGAACTCGAGGCGACCCGTGGACGCTAGAAGCACCACATACTAGAGGCGGATGGAGGCTTGGATGGCATTCTGAGAGTTTTACTTTGACTTTCGGTGGCTTTTCTGTGATCTACCTAGGTACAAGCTGTATCCCCCAATGTCTCGTATGATAAATCGGGAACCCTTTTATGCGACGACCACAAATAGGTGCCCAAATGGGTTTCAAGTACATACTCATATCGAACACGGCATCATCCACAAGGTCTTAATTCGGGAAGGTATCAAGTATTGCCGTGATATCCATATGTACTCCGTACAGCTCAAGGAATTATTTTATTGGTCTAGGAAAATTAATATTCCAAGGTTTGTAGCACTACCACTACCACATCTACCAATCTTGTTTCGGGCATTTTTATTTTCTCTCAAGCAGATTACTAGCCAAATGTCAAATCCGAGGTGAATTGTCCAACAATGCCTGCTCGAGTCCAGGAAATTGCCTGGCCCGTGTGAATATTTCCCTCCAACCCACCCTAAATTTTCGTTCAATATATATTATCTGTCTTCAATGGTCCCGCCAAGATATATATGGCCAAGCTATGCTTCTCAAATGCTTCGCCTCATAAACTTTCTTGGTATTGTCTTGGAATGCTTGGTTGATGAGCCAAGTAGTGGTAAGCAAATATACCCACCTTGGAAGAGTGCTTACCTGTGAAAATCTTGGATTATCCTTTCCTAATGCGGTTATATCTCGGCAATATGGATCCACTTTGTAACTATAGAGTACAAGGTACGGAGTACTCTCGACCTTTTTGATTTCTTTTCGACACTATGAATAACTCCCGAATGGTTACTTCGGGAATGGCTTCTTGGGCCATATTCCGAAAAGAAATATATACTGAGTTAGTTCTATATAAGGAACCCTCAATTATCAAGAAGATATCGAGATTGACCTTACGGATTAGACCTGACGCAAGCCGTTGGAAAGAAAAAAAACAACAACAAAAACAACAAAAACAACCAATGGAGTACAAATTGCGGACGAACCTTGGAACAACCATAGAGAATCTTCAACCCATGACCCCACCGCCAATTTCCAATTCCCCATGGTTACAGACACCTCCAGACACCCCCGGGAATTAATGTAAACCACCCTCCAACAAAGCCATGAGAAATAAATAAATAAAAACAAACTGAAGGCCCCTGAGTAGCGGATGTACGTCACTTCAAAGTACATATAACGTTATTTGAACTAGCGCAGTTTGATATATTACCAAAACAAACCTAAGCGGCTACTTCACTCCATACGATTCGCTTCATAAGCGGTCGTTTG